CAAGGGCCAGGACTGTGATAGTTACAGTGTGAATGGAGGAGTAGTTGATTCTATAAGGCAATTGTATCTAAGTTATAAGAAATGAATGAAAAGGAAGGCGTTCCAGGTTTAGCCAAGGGTGTGAGTTCTGGCAAGTGAGGAATCCTAAGTTTATGAAGGAAATGGAAATCATAAAATCTTCCATGGTCATGATATCATGGGGATGCTAATGCATCTGAGTGGAATTATCCTATGGTATATAGAAAAAGGGAACTAGGGAAAGAAAGGTCTGGGCTGGTAATATGGATTTAGGTGTCATCTGCATAGAGATGACAAGATGGCTTAGGTGAGTAAAAGGGAACGAAGAATATTGCACAAATGTCCAATAGAATAAAGCACAAATGTCCAAAGAATAAAAGCACAAATGTCCAAAGATGTTTTAGAGAACCAAGGGAGGGCTGGGTGTGGTAGCTCATGCCTGTAATCCCAGCACTTTCGGAGGCCGAGGCAGGAGGATCACTTGAGGTCAGGAGTTTGAGACCAGCCTGGCAAACATGGTGAAACCCCATCTCTACTAAAAATACAAAAATTAGCCAGGTGTGGTGGCAGGCACCTGTAATCCCAGCTATTTGGGAGGCTGAGGCTGGAGAATCGCTTGAACCTGGGAGGCCGAGGTTGCAGTGATTTGAGATTGCATCACTGAACTCCAGCCTGGGTGATAGAGCAAAACTCTGTCTCAAAAAAAAAAAAAAAAAAAATCTAGGAAACCAAGGGAGAATGGTGTCACAAGACCTCCAGGTAGAATAGTTAACATCATCAAATACTGCATAGGGATGTAGTATGACAACCATGAAAAGAATATTGGATTTTACAAATGATAGCTGGAGACCTTTAGAGACTGGGTAAGAAAAGGCATTCATGACCAAACCAGATTTCAGAGGCTCGGGATTGATGGTGAATTGAAAACAGATAAATAAGAGTAATTAAAAGGATTGGAAATTTCTAGAAAACAATCTTTTTTTTCAGATGGGAACTTGTTTGTTATTGATAATAATATGGAAGATACTACTGATCGGCAGATTTGGGATGCATCAGAGGCAAAGCGTATGTTGCCTCCTGTCAAGTTTCTCATCTACATCAGCCGTACATCTCTAGTCTCATCTACATCAGTCCATTGTCTGCATTAGTGCTGAGTAGGTCAGTCCTCTGCCTAAAGACCTCTCTGAGTTCCTTGTTGCAAGAAGAAATCCAATATTCTTAGCATAGCAGACAAGTTGCTTTGCATTTTGGTTCTAAACTCTCTGTCACATTTCATCTTCTGCCACTTGGGGCACAGGAGATTTCAGATTGTTTCCAAGTTAGATCTTTGTACATATTGCTCTCTCTACCTGGAAGAGCCTTTCTCCCATCTTTCACATGTCTAATTCTAACTTGTCTTTCAATACTCAGCTCAAATATCGCCTTGTTTTTGAACCCTTTCCTGCATCCATGGTTCCAGTGCAAGTCTCCCTCTTTGTTGAAGAAACAACCATAAGTTGTTTCTTCGTATCTTCGTTTCAGCATCCTGCATTGTAATTCCTCTCTTTTCATAGCTGTGTTCTCCATTAGACTATATGAACTCTTAACACAGGGACTCTCTTTTTTATTGCAATCTCCATGGCAGAGGCAAAACAAACTCTTGCTAAAAGCATTGGGAATGAATGTGTATTAATGTAATAATATATACTGAGGTATATAAGATAGAAGTGAAGAAGCATATTATTAGTACAAAAAATGAACAGTTTCACCTCTGCTCCTTCAGTTTTTAGCTGTGACCATATATAATGAATAAAATATGTGAAGCTATGCATTCCGAATGTATTCTGCTACAGTCATTATGTGTTAGAACGTGGTTTTGGAGTTAAGCAATCTCAGCTTTAAACATGACATCTGACTCTAAGACTCTAAAACCTGTATGAATTAGAGCAAGTCAATTTCTCTGAACCTGAGTTTCCTATTGGTCAAATGAGAATAATACCGTATAGCGTGGCTGTGAAGATAAAATTGACAAAATATAGATTAAACTATTTAATAACCAGCATTTAGATGTCACTAATGTCACAATTATTTCCAACTCTCACCTTCATGGCTGAGATCTCTTATTAGTTTCTTTCTGGTCTTGTATTTGTCTCATTTACAACTTTAATTCATTTTATAAAGAGAAGAATGTTTCATTTCTTAAGTGGAATTTTGATGTTAGGAAATTTAACATCAGCTGTGCTTCACCTATCTAAATGATGCCATTTGATTCATAATACTCATTCCCAACATTAAGTGAATTTACAAAAATCTAGAATGAAATATATGTGTTGATTTAGTAAGTTGCCAATTACATTTGAATTGTTCATGAGTCTCCAAATAATTTTCCAGTGAAGGCCCTAACTTCACTTGCTAAGCTGGATCTGAGGATACCCTTTTTGTCTTATCTTCTGGAATCTATTGCCCTCAGTGATTTATATCAGCTTTTAAAATTTTTTTAGCAGAATTTTTGTGGTTAATAAAAACATGTGCTTACAGCTTTTTGCATAAAGGATTCCACATCCGATTTAGATCAAGAGAGAGATTTTTAGAAAAAAATGATGGATATGTCCTCTGAGAGCAGTGGAATGCAACGATGTTCTGTCTCTCTCTGATTGAGTTCATGGCATTTCAGAACCCTTCCACACCCACACCCACGCAAAGACACAAACAGTGGTCACAACTGCAGCTCCCGCAGTCTCATTTCCAGAGTGCATCCGTTGTTTTCCATAGCATGAAATAAATCCCTCTTTTTTGCCCAGTGGTGAAAAGCTTATATAAATACTAAAACTTCAACTATTCCCCTGAGTTTTCTGTTGGCTAACCTGCAGCCATGGGTTGTTTGGATATTGACATGCATTTGCTGTGTAGATCTTTCAGGCCACTTTGGTGAGTCCAGTGGTGATAAATTCTGTTGTCTTGAAAATTTATCAGGCTAACTGTTTTAATGCTCCATCTATGAAAACTTAAGTAATTGACGCCCTCATCGAAAAGGCTCCAGGTTCAAAGTATCTCTTGTTCTTTCAGCATATATCATTCTGATGATATACATCTATATATATTTCAGGAAGCCTTGGCCAGGAGTTGACTATAACAGTCATTGGAAAGAAAGTAAGAATGTGATGAATTGATGAACCAAACATTTAACCTTGCATTGTTATTCCTATGAAAGATTTTTTAAAACTATATTCAGAAGTGAAGTATTTTATTGTGTACTAAATAGGGGTAGTTAACATTACTGGGCTGAAATTAAAATGTATAATAAAAAATCCTTATCCATAGAATTGGAGAGAAAATGGAAGGCATATATTTAAAAACAAAATCAATACTTGGTGTATAGTGGGTAATCAGTAAATGAATGTGTGGATAGGATTGATTAGCTTCCTAGTGAAATGTAATACTACCTTTATAAAAAATATTTATTATATCCTTAAATAAAAACTTACATGATTGAACATCATTGTTTATATAGTAGCCTTATTTTGGAACATATATTTATTCCATTTTTTCTTTTTATTTCTTGTTTTTCATTTCTTCTCTTACGTAGCAATCAATTAAGTGTCCTTCAGTATTGAAACTATTCTTTTTTTTTTTTTTTTTTTTTTTGAGATGGAGTTTCGCTCTTGTTGCCCAGTCCTGGAGTGCGATTGGTGCGACCTCGCTCACTGCAATGTCTGCCTCCCGGGTTCAAGGGATTCTCCTGTTTCAGCGTCCCAAGTAGCTGGGATTACAGGCACCGGCCACCATGCCTGGCTAAATTTTTGTATTTTTAGTAGAGACAGGGTTTTACCATTTTGGTCAGGCTAGTCTGGATCTCCTGACCTCAGGTGGTCCACCCGCCTTTGCCTCCCAAAGTGCTGAGATTACAGGCGTGAGCCACCGCGCCTGGCTGAAGCTATTCCTATATATATGTATTTTTTTTTTAATGGTGAAAGAAGTAAATTTATCTAATACAGTTTCCTCCGGAGTCTGCAGATTTGAAGTTAATTTTAGCTATGTACAGGAGAACCGAAGGGAAGTCCATGAATATTCTACTATTGTTTCACTAGCCCTTCCATATTAGTAAAACATTTTAGTCTACGTTGGCTAATATTTTAAAAATGTCTCTTTGGTTGCCTAGATTATTAATTAGAACAGGTTTGACATTTTAATAATCAATAATTCTGAAAGTCTTCATTCATTAGAAACTAATTGTGTTGGGGTGTCCCTATAGATCCAAGATTTTATTTCTGTGTTCACTGTTTTTACAGAGAAGAAATATCAAACAATAAATCTCATAAATGTGTTAGCTTCCCTTCCTTAAGACCTATTAGGGAAAATAAAGAAAATCCATATGCTTTTCTGTCTGTGAAGTCCAATTTTAAGTTATAGTAGAAATAAAACAGACAAAGGATTTGGATAAATTTGAGTTTTGTTGGCTGAACTGAAATATCACTCTTTGCATGTCTTCAGTTGTGCTGGTTAGTAAATCACAGTGTAAAGGTTGTTTGTAGGCCAATGGTTGTGACCATTAATTTTTGCATACTTTTCCCAAAGCTTTCTTAAAACAGTTATGTTAGTTTTTTTTTTTTGTTTTGAAGAATAATATATCAGTGCCTATCCTAACCTGATTTCCACTACCTGAGACCTAAAAGACATATTGCCCAATGACTTCACGCTCAAAGTACAATGATATTATTATTATTAAATTCACAAATTGCTCAGAGAATTCATAGCAATAGAAATAGGAAGAATTACATCTGTAAATGATGGATTTTTAAACACTAGCACCTGGGTGGCTGCTCTTATCCGTACAGGGCCACTCAAGTCATTTCATACAGACAGCCTTCTCTCAAATGAGGTGTAAAGAAAGACTAGGAAACATATTTTTGTCACTATTGCTTGCTTTGAAGGAGGGCCACATGATAGAAGAGGCTGTGTTATGTTCCTTCCTATGTAAAAAAATGTATCCTTGTTTGTCTTAGGTTTGAAGAAGAACTGACCAGCAAGTGGTTACATCTTTTTGAAGGCAGTGGAGTCCCATATGGCCCAATCAACAACATGAAGAATGTATTTGCAGAACCTCAGGTTTGTTTTTGAAGTTTAACAACACAAGCATTTGCCTCTCTTTTCTGTCCAGATTGACTTATATCAAGGTACCTTTGCCATTGATTTCAAGCTTAAGTCACACAATGTGATTTTTCACCATTATATTAAAATTGTTTGTGGGTCTGAGATGAAAAGAACCAGAACTTAGAAGTGGCTGTCCATAAGCATACTTATGTCTGTGTTAGATTTAATATACTGTATTTCTTCATTAGCCACTACATAAAGTTTCTGTGGCCAGGGTATTTAATTTTCCTGAAAAACAGAAATATACACAATTGAGATATCGGGGTCGGGTACTCAGAGACTATTCTTTGTAGGAAGAAATATGAGAACTTTCATAGTTACAGTCTACCTCTGATCATATGATTATCTTAAAATGTACAGAGCAAGTCATATTTAATTCTGCAAATGAGAGGACTTTGTTTGCTTTGATGAATATGTGTTATTTGTGAGGCATAAATTTTACACAGATAGATATTTATGCTCTACATTGCTTATCAGGCTCCTTTTTGGGGTCCAGGAACAGGGTCACCTGAAAATATATTTACTTTATAACGTTGTTTAAGTGATTATTTTTAGATGATGTGAAAATAATGTTTTGATTTTATTACTTCAATCAGTATAACTACACGCAGTTTACCGTTTCTCAGATTCATCCGTTAATCCCCAAAAGTAGAGGAACTCCATTTTAAAGCTTTCATTGTGATTATTCAACTGTCTTGTCAGTTTCCAACATTCAAAACTATGGGGTATATTTTCCTGGGTTCTTTATATTTACATAGTGGCAGGTTTTTCTTAGAAATAAATTACTGAACATAGAATACACCTTTTGAGGGAGACCTTTGTTGGAAAACCTTTGATGCCTTTTATCTTACATGAATATCTGCTTAAAAGAAAATTGAAATATTTTAAATTTAATGGTTACTACATTTACTGGAGAAAAAAAGTGAACAAATTCAGGGATTCTGCTTGTGCTATTTTTCTGCCAAGATTGTGAGTATGGCAACGCTTTGTTCATGTTAAAACATTGGTCAATAATGGTCAATAAGTATCTGAGATAAAGGGGCCCATTTGGTGTGTACTATGTGAATTCATCTGAAGGGGACCCCACACCATCAGTGGGTGAATGCCTGGTGATTCTTTACAAGGAGGTAGCATTGTGCACACTCTGAATGTAGTAGACCAGGGGACTGATTTTCTCACTTCGTAACTTTGAGTGAGGCCAAGCCATCATTTGAAGCTGTCATGTATTGAGGTGTGTGTAGAACTTCATGTTTACCTCAGTTTGAGGGTACATTCCTCTGGAGATATTTCCTAAGAGTTTCTCCATCATCATTTCTATTGCTCCATCTGTGTTTTATCAGAGATGAAGACACCAAAGCAAAGAATTATTTTAAATAATTACATTATTTAAAAATATATTAAGTATATTCTAACACTACCTATTTTTTAGGCTTTGATAAACAAAGATTTATAATCCCACCCACTATCTTAAAATAATTCACTTTATTGGCTAGTTCAAAGTGAATATAGGATAATTAGAATTTTTATACCTAATTTTCTCTTGTGGTTCAATGTAAGTACTTTAATCTTTGCATGTCAATTCTTTTGGAACTACAAAAATTTGTTATTGGTCTATGGCATATTTTCAGTCATTAGCCTACTTTCCAAAATGGAGAACATTTATATTACCTAAGTCAACATACTAGCTTTTCGTACTATTACAAATGTCTCTACATTTGTGTAAAACAGATTATTTTTGAAAACCCTCAAAATGACATCTAACTGTGATGACTTAGTTCATTCATTTATTCAACACACTTATGATATATCCAGTGCTTGTGACTTAGCAGAAATTCAGTACACAATGTGTACCTGCTATTTAAGTCCATTTTGAATGTATTTATCAGAAAGGTACTAGTTAATGAGTTGGTTAACTCTGGAATGTGCAAGTTTTCCAAATAATCAAGTTGCTCCTCTGCAGTCCCCCCTCCCCTTTTTAAAATCCTCCCCACCATAACTATCATCTTGTGTACTCCTGAGTGAGGCTGACAAGCTGTATCTTCAGGGCTGGTTGGAAAACCCTTGGTGATCTGAGGGAACTCAGTGTAACGTAATGGTTAAGACCATGGAGTCAAAATTGGTGGGCAGTTTATTATAAACTTCTAGACTTTAGTTTTCTTAAGTGTAAAATGGTGAAATGGCATCTGAGATACTGTTTATGAAGGGAACAGCACAGGGATTGTGAGATGGTAAACAGCCAATGCCTAGTAGTAGCTGTGGTTATGATGGTGCCCTTTAAGGTTATATTCTTGTTTAACTTCTTTTACTTGTCTTTGTATAGTGGATAGAGGAAAATCCAGTGTAGCCTTGGGGATGGGGATCATTAAGTTAAGCTTGCACTCTGCTATCCTTTTATAAAAATATATCTGCAAACCCTATGCCAAGAAGAGAACTTCCCTTCCTCATTTCTGATGATTGAAAATCCTTTTATTTTTCATTTTCCGTAAAAGTTTTTTCTAAGTATGATTTCCGTTTAAGGTATCCTCCCTTGTTTTGCCTCTGATGAGCTGTAGAGTTTCTTGGCCCTGGGTGCATGGAAACGGCCACTTCTGTTCAGATGTGGGAACACACCGCTGGCGCATGTGGCCCACTCTCCGTGTGCGCTGTGCCAGCACAGCTGCTAGTTCAACTGAAAATTGCTTTGGGTGAAGTACAAGGTCTGGAACATGGCGTAGGAATGGAGACTTTGATAAAGTGAAAAGGGGTATGTCTAACAACCACAACAAAAGCCAGGATTGGGAGACTCAAGTAACGGCAGAAAAATTTGAGTGCCTACTTCTTAAGTAGACCATTAACAGCATTTCATCTGTGGTTTGAACTTGGAGACAACAAAAATGTACTTGATGGTAGAAACTATTTCTAGCCTAACAATTTCATCATAGTCTCATGGATTGAGGTAACTTGATTTTTCGATTCAACCAAAACAGCAGATGATTTTTTTTTCTGGGATAAATGAGAGATTGTCTACCTTTTATCCTCCGATTATATGTGACAGACCTTTGCACAGTTAAAGTGATCCTACAGGCATCCACTGTTAAGTCAATCAAGAATACTGCAGGCTGGGTGTAGGGGGATTGGTCTGCATTTACTGAAAGTTCTGAGGAGTTTTTATTCAGAACCCTTAGAGTGGGAGTTTTATTGTCTTTCTCTCTCAATGACAAATTATCTGTGGAAAGTTCTGTGCATTATAGATGTATAATATAGATTATCTGCATATAGATTTTAATAGGCAGTCATTTTTCCAAGTGCTTTCTTAAAATATCTTCTTTTAATCAAGCCAAGATTGTGCAGTACATTAAAGGAATTCTTAAAAAGTTTCAAAAACTTACTAGATGACCTCAGTATGGTCCTATTTAACATACCCTCGGGAACATGTGCATGAAATACATTGTGGTTTGAGGGTTTCCAACCCAAACAAACTTAAAAGAAAATGCAGCTTTTAATAGAAACTATTCAAATTCCTGCAAACATAGGTATATATCTTACCACTGAGAGGGATTAAAAGCATCACTGTCTACACTGAGAATCAAAAGGGAATGTGCCATTCTGCTTTTAGGCTTTGCTCAAGACTATATTTGGTGATTCTAGCATATCACCATCTTTGATTAAACTGCTCAATTAAAAACTATGAGTGATTGAAGCCTCTGATTAGTGTTTTTCTTTGTCATTGATGCCATGACCTGAGGGTAGGGAAGAGAGGGCAAAGAGTGTCACAAAACTGGTGTTATTTAATAGAGTCTTCACATTTGTACCACACAAGTTGAATGTATCAGGTGTAAGACATCACCCTGAAGCATCACTTCTGAGAACTATTGGGAGGAAAATATCAGAACTATTGAAATATCACAGCTGGCCCTGATTTTAACTAGTGCCAAACACCTGCAGGCTCTAAAAGGATACCAAAACAAAACCCCACCCCGTGGCAGCAAGCCATTCCTTAACAACCCTTTCTTAACTTTGCATCACCATCAAAATTAATTTAACATTTTTCTCCAGAAACCTTATTCTTCCTGTCCCAGAAGGCCATTACAACCCCTTTAGCAAATCTTTCGTATGGGATGAATATGTCATAGAAACAGAGTGAAGTCTTGAAATATTTGATGGCTGAAAATTATCTGTTTTCATTTCATTATTTGTATAAGCTTTTGCAATTGGAGGGTTTATTAATCTCTAGACTAGCTCATATTATCTGAGTGACTTTGTTTTAGCACATTTTGGCAAAATATCTGAGCATCTTATTTTTTAAAAAAGGCCAATAGTCATATAGTAAACATCAGAAGCACCCCCAAAATACAGAGTTAGTTTTCAAGACCTTTCTACCACACAGACGTGCATGTGCGCGCACGCACACACACACACATCCACACTCACTTCTGATGCATTTTAAAGATCACCTTTCAAATGACATTAGTTAATATTTCTTTAAATGCAGTTTCATAGCCCTCAGAGGGTTGTACAAGTCAAGCAAAATTATATTCTTGTTTCTAATACTGATGGGAAATACATATATACAGTGGTCTTTGCAACTGGAAAACTGTTGATAAAGATCTGATGTAAAATAGTAGGTCTGGAAATAATTCCTAGCAGGCAAGGAGATAAAAACATAAATTTTATGTGTGTCTGCGAATATACATAACACATTTAACTGATGTACAAATTTAGATACACCATACTTGTGTGTTTGTTTTATCATCCCTGTAATATTTTAAATATTTGAAGAAATAATATATTTCTGATGTAGGTGATTAAATGAAATAAAAATGGAGAGTTTAAGCTCCCAGTTTTATATTAATATATAAAGTATAAGGCAATTGTGTACAGTTTTATCTTGTTGATTTGAGAAAATTATCCTATTGCAAAAAACTTCCAGTGTTATTATTTAAGAGGAAATGTTAAAATGTCGAGTAAGAATCAAA